TTAGTGGGATTGTGTGGGTTGATGTGTGTGTTAGAGAGCAATGTTCCAGATGTTATTTTGCAGGAGAGAGGAGACCAGCCTCTCATGGCTAGTAAAAAAGGAGAATTGTTACAGCATTGTTGTGGTAACATATAAGTATCTCTGAAAATACAGCAGTCAAGGATAGTCTAATTTAAAAACTGGTACCACAATCTAATCAGGCACCTTTACGAAGGGTTTCTAAGTTTTAACTAATGGCTGATTAATGGTTAATAACCGATTTACTAATGTTTAAGATTGGAAAGACGGTAAAGAACGTTGTAGCTGACATATCAAGCACGACAACTGCTTTGTCTTTTTAGTTAGCTCTTTAGACTGCAGACTTGTAGAATGATTGTAAGAACCATTTTAACTCATTCAATCATTATTAACTCGATACAACTAGATAGATTGGCATAAAATGTGGTACAGACATTTGTGGTTCCTAGATGATGAACCCTACTGACTGTTGTGACTCCCTGATTACTCTTAACTACCGGATGGATTGTCAGGAAACCGCCATTCATGTCTCCCTCAGGATGAAATGTAATATATTACTCCTTAACTTTTCATCCAGCTATCATCAGGTCAAAATTATAATTCATTCTAAATTCTGATTTATAACCAAAGACCTGCAGAACTAATGATACACCCATCTGTGTCTGCTGTACTGTGAGTTTATTGCAGATTAACAAATGTTAGCATGCTAACACTTTCAACTTCTATATAAACATTATAGCGGCTTATCATTATCATGTCAGCGTTGTCATTGGGAGCATGTTAGCATGCTGACATTAGCGTTTGGCTCCACTGAGTCTAATTATAGCCTCAGAGCTGCTAGCTGGCTGTAGACTCTTAAGTCTAGTTATGGAGTGTCTTATTCAGTCCCTCCAGGAAATCAGAGCATTTTTTGTTTTTTAAATTGCGATGCATGTTGGGATGTTTTTAGGCATTGTTTTGCTATTAAATTTCAAGAAAAAATTATTTAAAATTACAAGAATAGTTTCATTTTTTGTATAATTCATTAAAAATCGAAGGCTACAACTAGTAGTTTGGTGACGTATGGCTCAGAGTTTTGCACAGGGGACTGCTATGATTGGTCAAAAGTTGCAGAAAAGTTGCAGTGATTGGACAAAATTGCAAGGTCATGCAGAATTCACTTGGGATTGGTTGAATTTGTGTTAATTCCTGGAGGGACTGCTTATTAGAAAGTGGCACCAAAGAAATGAATTGATCTTACTTTAATTGAACAGAATTAAACTTAAACATTTGACATATTTTTTGCAGCCACATGCATGTGAGAGACATGTGAGAGACACTGCAGATCTATTTATGGATTAACTATTGACTAACTGTTCCTATAAAAAAAACCCAATGATTTTCGCTGCTGTGTGTCAAACTACCGATCTGTCTCTGCCTCTCTGTTAGTGGCTGGTTTCTGCACTGAAACAAACAAATCTGTATTCCAGCATCGGCCCCGGTCCAGCTGGCCAAACTATTTACACTGCCAGGCATAAACACTTAAGATTAGGGATGAACCCAATTTATTGCCACAGCCAGCCAGTTGTTTGGCATCAGATGTCACCGAAGACTCTTTCTTTGATTAGTTTGTTCCACAAGTATGAGTTATTATTATTGTGTTGCCTAATAATCAAGAGGATCAGGTTTTGCTTATGACAGCAATTCATAATCTCTAAGAGCAACATCACCCACAGATATCTCACAATGAAAACTAGAGACTCACTCAAGTTTTTCTGTGACACAAATACACAAAAGCAGACAGGCATGCCTACACACACTCTTTTTTTTCTCCAGCTCACGCTATTGCTTTTGCTCTCTTTCACACACAGACAGACACTCATAGTTGTTTCTCACAGTCTCGTCTTGCTGTTGTTTGATTTACTCTGTGGCCTCTGACCCCGGCTGGGCTGAGCTGGATGGACTCTTGGCCCTGCTGCTGCTCCAACTGGTTCATCTCCAACAAAACCCCACTGGACCTGTGTGTGTCTTTGCATGTCTAGATAAACATATTCATGTGTGATCAATTCCTGTGTCACTCTGCCGTCCAAAAAGCACAAGTTCAATAGCTTTCTGTTATTTATATGTTGCATGTATAAAATATCTATTATTCTGTTGTGTTTTGCATTAAAAGCTGCACCTGCGCTTTCCATTGCTTCTAACTAAGGGTTAAACTAAATTCAGTTGTCTTCATATATTTCTACACAGATGGAAACCTCTTGTCAGCGTTACACCGTATTACAGTGTTTTACAAGCCGCTAACTGACCTTTTGGTGTTATTCATTTCCTGTTGTTGTGAAGCCCAAATCAATTAAAGATGGTAACAGTGATGTGACTCCATCTGACCTTTGCCTGAGAGCACAACAGTGGGAAAGAAAAGAACTGAATGATGATTAAACAACAATTTGCAGTTCTATTTAACAGAAAAAATTAATAAAGCAAATAAAAAGTGACTGAAAGTTTGACTGAGCTTTCTTTGTGGTCCACTTTGACACTTTAGCCCACTTGTTTTTCACACCGCAACTCCTTCACACCCCATCTGTCTCATGTTAGATTGTGGATAGGCGTCTTCATGGTGGCCCTCACAAATGTGATTATCATATAATTTAGAAAATCTTATCCTCTGAGGATTATAACTGACGTTTTAACTTTACTCATAAGATCCTTCTGCACAATGTGGATAGCTATCATAACATCTATCTATCTGGCTCTCTAATCTGAATCAATGCCTGAAAAGTTAAAACAAAACAGTGTGGTAATAGATATAATATCTTTCTGGACTATAAGAAACAACTAAATCTGTTGTAAATAAATCTGTCAGCGCTTATTTGAACAGATAACTCACAAAGGAATCTTTTGTCTTCATATTTCTTTGATGGCTCTTCTTAAAGTCATAGATGTGGTATTTTTTTTAAACATAAGTGTCATCTTTGAAGGCGGTCCATAGCTCCGAGTTTTTAAACAGATGTGGGATTCCCACTGTTTTCTTCCTTGCATGTACAGTCCCATATAAATACTGAGTTAATGGACTCTCACTGTGGGTTACAGCTTCTTGAAGTAATTTTTGGGTTTAGCTTTTAGTTTAGATTCAGACCACTTTTTGTTTTGTATTTCTACCAGCAAAATCACAAACAATGAGATATATGAGATATAAACAAAAAAGATATAATGTGGTAATTGGTGAGCTTAGGTGAGGTGCTGCTGGGTGGATTTACCTTTTGCCAAAGCCAAGCTCGCTGTTTCTCTCCATACCACTTTTTTTGCTAAGCTAAGCTAACTGACTGCTGGCTCTAGCTTCATATTTACTGCACAAACAAAAAGTGGTATCAATCTCATCTAAGTCTTGACAAGAAAGCAAATGAGTATATATCTCTCTCTGTGTGTGTGTGTGTGTGTGTGTGTGTGTGTGTGTGTGTGTGTGTGTGTGTGTGTGTGTGTATGTGTGTACAGGGTTAGGGTTAGAGTGCACTTTCCAGGACAATTTATCTTGAGCTGGATATAGATTTGACTAATACTGCACATGTTATTATTTCAACATAGCCACACAGGCCCGCCCACAGACTAGTGACTGGACCGTCCCCAAGTACGCTTTACGCATGCACATGCTCTCTCTCTCCTGTGTAACATGATTATTGCTGGCCCCCATAGCGACCGGCCCCCAGAAAGTGTTCCCCTTTTCCCTGTATCTGTGACTCTACGAGAACTGCACGACACACTTGCTCGGCTCAGCCCACCTGTCAAGACGCTACACTGCTTAAATGCACCATAGTAACACATTTCCTAAGCAGCCTGTGTTATTTAGTTCTTTTCCTTGTTGTGCAACACACTAAACGTCTCAATCCCTTGTTCTCAGTTCCCTCTAAGCCCTTGATAAGGAAGTGGACTGAATTTTTTTTTGGCTCTTTCCAGCGAGAGTGACCTAAAAGACAGCAGGAGATGGGGGAGGTATGTGTTACAGTACAATAGCCGGTAAATCTCTCCACAGTAACCACACCAGAGCACTGAGCACATGCTTATGGAGGGAGGCTAATCAGCTTTCTGCAGATGGGCTAATGTCCTTACAGTGGCTGAGAGGGGGGCCTATATTTAGCGTCCACTCTCTCCCTCTTAACAGGGGATAACATTGGCCCTGTTCTCCTCTCCATAGCTCATCTCTCTCTGCTTAAATTCATCAAGAAGCCCATGCTGGCAGAGATGAAGGGAAATGAGTGAGGGCAAAAAAACAGAGGGTAATAAAGCTGTGTACTCAACAGACTAAAACATGCAAGGTATATTAAATTCACACACAGCAGGTTGTTTGAAAGTCCGTCAAAGAAATGAGGTCAAAGTTGAAGATAAAGAAAAGAGAAAAAAGCAAGATAACCAAGTGACAGACAGAAGAAGAAAACATATCACAGAGAACATGAAAGAGAGAGACTAAGTAAAATATATTTTCTCAGTGTCAGCAAGGAAAGTGACATCTGGAGGCTGAGGCCTCTGGGCATTAGAGGGAAGCAGACCTGGAGCCAATCAACTCAGTCAGTTACCATGTGTCCCTGGAGACCAAGGCTCTGCTGGTAGTAAGGTCTGTGCATATACATGACATCTACCTGCTGTTGCTAATGAGGTCTGGCAAACGGTGCGATGACGGCTGTTGACGCTTATCGTGACGTCTCTTGGAGGGAAAATCTGTCACGTTCAGCTGTCACTTGCTGGCAGCAGCAGTGGCACCACTCGGATTGTGCGGGCACCTCGAGACATTGACCTGATGAAGACACCTCTTTCAAAGTCGGGGCAGCAAATCTAAATGCCAGAGCTGTGTACCTTGGCTTATCTAAGGTTCAGTATGTCCAAGAAACATCATCCAGATTGTTATTATAGGTAGTAGTGTGTGTGTGTGTGTGTGTGTGTGTGTGTGTGTGTGTGTGTGTGTGTGTGTGTGTGTGTGTGAGATGAGTGTGATAAAAAATTTAACTGAACAACTCTTTTCTGATAGTCTTTTTTGCTTTTAATTCTCAAGTTGGTCAACTTGAACACAATAATCAGATCATTATTTTCATGTCCAAACAGGATGGCAGTTTAAAAACACAAGTAGAACAGTGAAACAATCTCTTTAGAGCAACAGAAACCCATATGAAACAGCTCAGAGCACACATACAATGAACACAAGTTAAATCTGCATCTCAGCATAGCCTCTGTGTCCACCTGCACTGCTCTTCATCAGCCAAAATAAAACACAAATTCGCACACTCCACAAAATGGACGACACAGCTCTGAATCTGCCTGCTACATCAGCCAAACACAGACTGTACAAAAATAGAGATTGATAGAAAAATAGGAGATCTGACATGTTTGAGAGAATATGCAGAGTCTCTTGCACTTGTAAAGCTGAAAATGTACACCTGTTATTTTCATGATCATTGCAAAAACCCCTAACTCTTAGCCAACTTGTCTCTTTGCCATTCAAATAGCCATGTGGTAGTCTTTATCTCTACAATTGTTTACGTTATTTCCTCATTATTCGGTGCTTTTCAATGCTAAGACGAGATATATTTTTGATAGCTGTTATCTGCCCATGCAGCCCAAATTTCCACACATCCCAAACCTTTTTTTCTATAAAAGAGAAGATGAAATATACATTGGCCAACATTAACTGAGTTTACATCATCTTTGAAGATTTTCAGGCTTGAAAAGCCTCTGCAGGGTCTCTGGTAATACCAGTATTATGCCTTTAACTCCACTCCATTCACAAGTTGCTTTGCTGCTACATCCCTGCATTTAATCCTACCCTCGACCCCTCTGACAAACATACAGTTTGATGTATCGCTATCTGGTCTGCAGATATTTGGAGACGTCTTTTGAACGTTTACTCTTTCTCTCTTACACATGAAAAGGAAACATAGTTTATACAGTCCATAAAGCATATCAAAATGATTTTAAACTGTGTACAATAATGTAAAAAATTACCGTTATATATTTGATAAGAAGATATAAAATGAATTTGAAGTGTATTAAAACTTTACAGTTTAATTTGAGAAAAAGTGGTTATCCCTGTTTCATAATGCATTTCAAACACACTGAATCTGTTTTATATGCATTTGAAACTTAATCTACTCGCAAACTAAACATTTTTGTTTAGCCCTCAAAAGATACACACAATGTGTAAACTAAATGTAGACATTACTTTTATTTCCACAGGGCACCTTTAAGTAAACTCAAGTTGTAAATTTCATAATTATCCATTTTAGCGTCACAAGAACTCAATAGCATGAAGCTTAAATGCATCTTGATATAGGACTAAATGTGATGAAACTGCGTTTTTAAATTGGGAAAACCTACATATCCAAATACATTTCTTGTGTAGCATTTCACCACCCACAGATGATTAGATTATTTCCTTTTTTGTGATAAATAGCTTTTTGTTTATCAAGCTGAGCACTGGTCAATCTGATTTTGCAATGCAAAAAGATAAGGGCAGTTTATTCTCTCTCATTTGCTCTCTTGCTGCAAAACCTCTTACATTTCTTTCTTAATGACCATCTATTTTACTCTTATAAGCATTTTTGATCCAAGCCCCACCTCCCCGTCTGTACAGATGATGAGATTATGGTGCTATACTTCCCCTTTGGTAATCAGGATGTGTGCTCATCCAGCAGGACTGCAGATAAGAGCAGAGTCTTCAACTAAACATTGCCAAACGAAATCAGTTGGTCCAAAACCTCCCTAATTGTAAGAGACCTTACTCAGCATACTAGTTAAACTCTCTGTTCCACAGTACATTCATTATCACCTCGGAAATGTCAATAAGACAACTCAACAGTTTCTCTACAATAAAGAATCACAAAAATATCTCTTCCCTTTAGGCGTTATCTAGGCACTTAAAATTATTCCTGTACAGAAATAAAGCATGCATTGTTTTGTTGTTTATTTTTTTTTTCTCAGAATTTAGATAAAGTTGAGTATCAAAGTAAATCTTTGGATTTGTAAACAAGTATCCAAGTTCCTCATTTTGCATTGTCAGTGAAAAGGAGTCCCCTACACACACGGTGCACATGTAAAAGGTCAGAAAGTTGCAACTGTTTGACAATGAATCAATATCTTCAGCATGTCATGTGTGTCCTCCGTTACTCTCTGTGGCTGTTTGCGAGTCTGTTTTGGTTTTTTTATGTAAATATTAAACATGTTCATCATTGGAAATTTGAGTTCCTGTGACTCACAACAGACAAGAATAAGCTAATCGTATCCAGGCTGTTGGTCACTCTGAGGCCGAGCTGTGGTTTGGTCTACCAAATTGATCTTAGCTGATGAGAGAACCTTAGAACTGATGGGTCAGCCTCACTCATTGGCATCTATCCCTGTGTGCTCAGCTCCCCCTGTGGCTGTAGCACCCTGTCCCGGGGAAAAGCCTTCCTCTGGCCCACTGCCTTATTCGAGCTTCCTTGTCCTAATTTCCCCTCCTTGCTTTATTCTCTTCTTTTATCTGTGCCCTTTGTTTAATTTTGTCTCCTGGTTTTCCTTCTCTTATTTCCCTCAATTTCCAATCTCAAGGAGGAGATAAAAAAAAAAATCATCCATCCCTTTCAAGGAGGTATGAGTTCCACCAGTTATGCAAAAGTGCATTCATGTACATTGTTTAGTTACAGGGCAACCAGGTGGCGTACATGGGGTGTTGCGAATGAGAAAGGTAATGCTGAGGAGGAGAGGGAGGACAGGGGTAGAAAGGCTGAACCTGTGCAACGTAATAGTTGCTGAAGTTTCCATCTGAGACGTAAGGAGCCGGCTGGTAGAAGCAGGTGACGTTGGCAGCGTTGGGGATGGCGTTCTGCTCGGCCAGGACCCGCAATGCTAGCGAAGAGATGAGGCTGAGCGTCTGGCGCCTCTCGTGGCCCATCAGGCACACCGTGCTCTCCTGCACCACATCGTACAGAGTGGCCAGATAGTCATACTTCCTGTCCTCCAGGTCTACAAAGTGGTTCTGCAGATAGGACTCCAGCTTCCTCCTCTGCTCGCCCACGTCAGGGAAATCTATGAAAAAGCGGGAGCACATGTAGCGCTGCAGAAGTTTCATCTCGCTTTCAGAAGCTGCACGGAAACCCCGCACCAGCAGGTGGCAGTACTTCAGTAAACCCCCGCCTCGAATCTCCTCAGGGCTCCTCGTGCAGATGAGTCGCTTGCGCAGGTGGTCGAGGGCGGTGGGGAAGTCGCCGTAGACACTCTCCCCAAGAATTGTGGGGTGGAAAGTGGCAGCCATGGGGTGCTCGGAGCACTCGTAGAAGAGGAGAAGTGAGTCCAGGCGGATCTGGAAGGAGTCCACGCTGAACTCAAACTGCCGTCGAAGAGAGTCAACAAACTTGAGCTCCACGTTCTTGCCACGGTTGTTGGAGAGGGAGATGAGACTCCAGCGGTCTGAGTCATTGCACACCTTCACCATCTTTTGCACATAGGCCTCCTAAAAAAAGAGACATTAGGTCATAATCACAGACTTAGAATGATTATAAATACCTGTGATAAGTTTAATGCATCTCATGTTTGAAGCCGTTGTTGGAGTTAATACATACATATGGGTGGATTTAACTTCTATATGCATACTCGTGAACCAGAGAACACACAGACATATAGTTCACAATATATACTAAACAAACATACAGTATATATAAAAAGCAATTCTACTTTTGGCTATTTGTTTTCTATGTTTAAGTTATAGTTAAGTCCTCAGAAACATAATCAGTGCAAGTAATTGTCTACGGTGGTCCAGAATTGTGTTTTTCCCAAACACTGACATTTTGAAGAATATGTGTCAGAGTTTTCCATCACACAAAGGCCTGCTGCCTTCTGTCTGTTAACTAACTCCTCCTCTTCTCATTTCCTCCTTTCACAGCTGTAATATAGTGTTAGTTCCTGCACTAGTGCATCATATATTTTTTCTTTATTCCTCTGAAAACCACATTACAGTTGGTTATCAGACACATGTACCCATGGTGATGTTTAAGAATGATTGCACTGTGCACTTATAGAGAGAATATTTTCTGGATAAAAATGTTAAAAACCAGCCTTAGTTTGAGCAGGGTTCAACAGACGGGCATTAATGCTATTTGCAGCAGATAAAAATCTTGATTCAGTCTGTTAGTCATGATGTTTTGCTGATCACATCTGTTGGTGGGCCATTAGTAGCCTGGGTAGTCCTCGGTATCCAGGTAACTGAGGGCCTACTTATTAATGTGGATCCGACTCCAATTGGATTAGACAGAATCCTCTTTGAATTGGAAACCAACCTTTTTTCTATTTGAAGGCTGATATCTCTGCGTTGGTTGGATATATTCAGGGCAGACCTATGTCTTGTTTTTGTAAGATGGATTTACATTCAGTTTGAAGTGAATGTGCAAACAGAAAATGTGTACAAAACGAACATAACTTCAGCAGTGTGCGCTGCTAATGAAGTGTGACTGGGAATAAAATAAAGACGAAAATAAGGTTCTATGACATGTTTAAAAAGTTTTAGACAAAATGTAATTTCGGTTTTGCAAATCATATCATTTATATATATTTATATTAGAATTACTTCAGGTACTACCTTTAAGGTCATTGGTGTGATCTTTTCTTTGTTCACTCCCTCGGGCAAGAAGTCTAGAAGAGAGTCCAGAACTATATCTTTCACTATCTGAAACTCCATCTCTCCTTTCAGCTCGGCGCAGAATATCAAGTCCAGATCTTTCCACCCCAGTCCGCTGTCCTCGTGCAGGACGTAGCTGGCCGCGGAGCCGTTCAGTCGCACCTCCCGGACATGTATCCGCTTCTCCTCCATGCGGCTCCGTACCACCTTGACGATATCCCGCGGCTTTACCTCCAGAGTGGGGAAGCTCCACCGGCCGTGGATGGGGATGGAGCCGGTGAGGATGGTGTCCAGCCGCTGCACTTGCTCCCAGTTGAGAACGCTGAGGTTGATGCTCTCCCCGTCCGAGCAGCTGTCGGCTGCAGCAGACTCAACACTCTCGTCCATGTTAAGAAGAGGTAGACAGAAGGATGTAAACGACAAAACTTTCCACTAACTCCTGCTGGAGTAGTGGCATCAGCTAGCGGCAACTTTCTAGAATTGACCGTTCAGAGCTGATGTCTATCAAAACAGCACGATGCTGGGCGACAGCGCGTCTCTACGCATGACGGAAAGAACTAGTTGGGCGGTGTAATGCTTGTCCTACTTCTTACATAAAGTCTGCAGTCCAGACAAATTCAATTCATGAGCTTTCCAGCCGTAAGGCTTAGTCACTGTCCAGCATCTGCTGCCCCGCTGCGCGCTCCGCTCTGATTTGCTCCGTCGCTGTCCCCAAACTTTGGAAAGCAGACGTCAACTGTAAAAGCTTGAAAAGATTGTTCCTTACGGTGTCAGCTTTTCATTACGTCCCAAAAACTCACTGACGCATCCATTTCTTCCGCGAAAACGTTTCATCCACCGCAGAACTTTTACTTCTCTCCTGTTGGACTGACTATTACGCACAGATTATCGCGCGTCCCTGCTGCGTAACAGCAACTTTACGCATCGTTTTAAGACTACTGTACTCTTCCGCGGCACACCTACTTTCAGAAAGTGGTGTATAGCTGCTTTTCCCCTTACATTTTGGACGTTTGTTGCTCGTTCATACTGCGTGATACCACGGAGGTCCCACTCCACAGCTGCTGGAGAAGTTGTGATCAGTGTGCTTCCCGTCTGAGAAGCGTTGGGGCGTGTCGGTTTGATTGACAGCACACACCTACTAATAGCAGAAGCCGCTTCCCACAGCTTCTTTGAGCGGCTGCAAGCCCGGAGACTGAGGCGTGTCTGGAGAATGGGCGTTAGGAGAAAAGAGAAGGAGGCAGATTGGACGCTGACCGTTAACCAGAACCCTTTCCTTTCTTCTTTGAATCGACTCCTCGGCGCTCCTTTAAATAACGCCCGCAGTGAGGCAGCTTATTCAGCACTTGTCCTGCATTTTGCATTATTAATATCACATTTTTGTTCTTCATTGATTGACTGATTGCTCATTGCAGTGAGAATACTCAGAGATCCGCACAGCCTATTTAACAAGTAGATACCCAATATTTAAAAAATATGTTGAAGCACTGTGATGATCATGGTCAGACAATCATGAGGGATGCTCTGGCAATGACTGTCTTCCCTTTATTTTATAGTGTAAAATCACAAATACTGATCACTTACTTTATAATAATTCACGCTGGATAACAGAAGGACAAAAACAAAAACACTTACATCATTCTTACATTACAGAAGTTACTCAGAAGGTGAGGGAGGGAACGGACATACACCCAACGCCCTCTAGGGTTTTTTTTCACCCATATTAATTTGGCCCTGCAGGCATTGGTGTGCAGCAACCCCTTCAACATGAGGTTACTTTACAAACCTTGAAGTAAAATTGCAGAAAACTTGTACAAGTGCATAACCTGCATGTATATCTAATGTAATATATATTTAATTAACAATTTAAAAAGATCCATATTTGGTGTATGTTTGTGGTGAACTTCTCTGACATGTAAGGTGTAATCTGTCTGTCAGTATGTAGGGTATAGGCCACATAGTCTCTGCAGGTTAGTTGTCATGGAGAATCTATCAGTGCAGAGCTTGGCGCGTATATCTGCGTCACTGCAGACGAGCCCATAAACCAGCTTACCGCAGATTACCCTGTATGTGCAGTGACACACACATTTACACACAGCCACACATATGCATGTACACTTAGACCTCTTCAGAAGATGCAAGGCTTATACCAATTTAAGGAATTTTTGGTGCATTCTCTGCGCAGGCTCCGATCATAAAACAGTGAAAGAAGCATGCCATTAAAAGCTATGTTTGTAATGAGAAAAGGTTTTAAGCAATGTAGCTCAAAACCACTAACAACTGTGAAACAGAGCATGTGTTCACACTTTGGTGGAGTAACTGAGCTGCACAATAACTGAACTTCCACATTTTCACATGCAGTCATTGTTGTGATATCTGGATATTTGTGTGACTACATAGTGTTGCTGATAACACTTTGTCTGCCTTGTCTTTGAGTCATAAAGGCCTAAATATCACATGCATTCCTGTGCACATACTGTGTCAAATCATCACATGGTATGAGGCATTTAAGTCAAGTTTACTGCAACTAGTGTCAATGGCATTTGTATATTCAATGAAGTGTGTGGGAGCTGTTTTCACTTCTTGATCCTGCTTCTTTTCTGACTCTCATCGGGTCCAGAGGAGCTACTACTAACAGCTTTAAGTGTGTGATAGGCAGAGGCCACATCAAGGAAAAGTGAAAGTGAGTCAGGTCAGTGGAAAACTGAAACTTTATTCATGCTGACTTAAAACGTTTCATCAACATTTCCAGGTTAAAGGCAATGTAGCTCTATAGGTTGAGACACGGCAGCAGGTCAGTCACACTCGGTACTTTCCCCATTCACCAACAGACTCAATGTCAGGCTTAGTGCTGGGGATGCTTACCATGAAGCAGCTACTTACCTGACCTCTGACTTGTCAAGTGGATGACACCGGCTTGGTTTCCAATGTCTGACGACATCAGAGGATTGACGAGGGGATTTCAAATAGACCCCTTGTCAGGCTGCCAAACCGATCGCCACATTTGGAAACAAATTTATTTGTGCGTGTGTGTATTTCCCCATGCATGTATTTTGTCCATGTTATGTCAGTGTGTATACTAGAAAACAAATGTTTCTGTGGTTATGTCACAAGTTTCTTCTTTGCGTAACTATTATTGTGTAACTTTTTGTCACTGTCTGTGTGAGAGTTATATCAGTCGAATGTGCCGACCTGCCTCTTTACACTCAGAAACATGAACAATAAATGAAACCATTCAGACTCACTATCTGAAACTCCATCGACCACCAACGACCAGCGCCAACGTGTGACCAACGGCCACTTGTTTCTGTATCAGTATCTTTCCCCACCTTCACCCTGTGCAGCCTAACTTTTGCTAATCCCCCATTCCCTGCCTACGTCCCATCCCACTCATTTATTGCTCATCCTCTTTTCTAGCCCCCTTTTTCACCATTCCTACATGCGGAAGTTCATTAAGAGATTACAGTGAGCGTGTTAGCCGAACTTGCCTTCATCATCTTCCTCCTTCCCTTTCCCACCTCACTCCCGTAACACCTCCAACTATTTTTGTACTTGTTAGGATTTTCATTAGTAAAAAATCTGTCTTTGGTTCCTTGTCGACCCATGTGAACCCAGACTTCACATTTTTTACTGCCGAAGGCTGAGAAGTGAAAGTACCACACTGTATTGCTGCCATGACAGAAAAAGAAAAAAGTATTATTGTCATGTTATTACTTGAAAAGTTTATTGTTATAACAATTTTTTTTTTCACGCTATAACAAGATATATTGACATCTTGGCATCATGTCAGCCAACAATCAAATATTTAACCTTGCTAACCTTAGCTGACGTAGGCTAACGTTGCCAGTCGATTAGCGAGTTAACAGTAAAGACAAGCTAGTGTTTTTTCTTTGCGTGTGTTTATTGTCGATATGACACCAGTTTAGTGAAGATGTTTCAAATAATATATGTGAAATACTAAATGTTAATTTGGCGTTTCAGTACATTTTTGCACAACAGCAATAGGTGTTAACGTTCAGCCGGATTGCTGAATTTTAAGAGAAGAGGATAGCTGTATAGAGAAAATATCTTTACTATCTTCACCAGGTTGCTTTTGTCTTGTAATCAAAGTGGCTGACAACATTAGCACTTTTGGTTAGCCGGAAGACTGAACATCATTCACTAGGTTTAGTTCAACCTGGTGTTGGCATACAGTGATGTACTGGTCAAATTCCGGTGGGCTGCTGTATTGTTGGACTGATGGACAATAAAATATAAAAATAAAAAAATTAAAATCTATAAAGTTCTTACCATGCCTCTCATTTGGGTATGTGACATCGTGCTGCTTCACCGTCACTGTTGACTCGTGCTTACGACCGACCCTGATTGAAGAACAGTCTGATGCGTTGATCCATAATTCAGTTTCTACAGTTATCAAGAAGCCATCTGTGCATGCTGGCATTGACACTCCTGATAAACATAAACATTCTAACTATTAGAAGATTAAGATAAAAATAAAAAATCATTACAAGCACAACCATTTTTGTCTTCTGTACATTTCCCTTACGTGCCTGTGTCCTAAAAGATTCTTGTCACAATATTATCAAGAAACACATTTCTGGGGTTATTTTAAATGTGGAACCTACAATTGTTATTTATCTTGTGTATATGTGCCCAGATCCTGTATCAGAATCAGTAGAAATAGGTTGTAAAAATAATTGTAACTGCTGGTTCATGCTGGGTGTCCCACAATAACTACTGAAGCTGTTAACTTACACTTTATCACAAGTAATTATTCATATGCAAGCAATTATAGACCTACCTGTACCTGCTACTGTGCATGGAATTCACATTCTCAGTGTCCAGCCATTTGCCCTTTGACACATATACAGTAGAGTACAGATTACCACTGGTACATAGTGGCTAGTGTAGCTAATGATACCCTATCAAGGCAAAGACTAACCTCAAAAGTATTTTCAATCTATTATCAATTTTAATCCTGACCTGAGTGAGAGACCATTGTTAACCCCATTTAACCTTGAAGAACGCATTCAGTAGTGTAAGCCCCCACTAAACTCTTCCACAGCCACTAATGAGATTCGCTGACGTGCCCTGCGCCGTAAGCCATGCTGCAGCACTAGAGGTTGCTCTGTGTGTAAGTGTGTTAATACAAACTGTAAGAGTATTGTAGACGACATAGTGAAATTGCCATGCGTTAGAAGTAAGTTACAGAAACTCACTGTCCGACCGCACTTGAACATGCTCAGTTCACAGACGTGTATTGCTCAAGCAAAATCACACATATTGTCGATGTAAAAATGTTTATAAAATGTTTCACAGTCACAGACTGCAAATAGCATAAACTAAAGAGGTTTATAATTAATCTACCATTAAATAATCACACAGGGGATATTATTTGTACAAAAGCACCCTGTGAACTGAACTCAGTATATTATGCTGCCCCAGGGATTTATACTATCTCTCTACTCTCCAAGTCAATGGTTGCCCATTTTTTAACATACTGTTCTGTTCTTCCTTGGTCACAACTGAGGGCAGCAAAATACTGTGTCAAAATAAACAGGAAGTGAATCGCTCTGTGACTCAGCTTCCTGTTTGATACTGTGGTTGGAGATGTCAAGATCACAGTGATATTGTGTGGTGATGTCTGTCCAATACAAATGCACACATGCAGAGATGCACATGCATAAACATGCATCATTAATTGACTCCTGGCTCCTCAGCTGCGGCCGTTTGTAAATAAAAAGTTGGTTAAAGAGGCTGGTAGCTGTGTAACTGGTAAACTGGGAATATGGGACTGAAGACTGGGAAGAGGAGGGAGCTGGGGAGAGGGACTGGAACCAGACCAGACAGGACCGCAGGGAAACAATTGACAAGGAAGGCAAGGGGGAAAAAACAGGCAACAACAAGAACACCCACAATGCATGCAGACAGACTCAAAGTGTAGACTGACAGATTAGAAGTGGCAGGGCGGTGTTTGTAGAGGTCTTGAATATTGAGATGTGGTGCAGCTGTTGTAGCTCCAGCACACACACCTGTCTCCACTCACTTACTCACACAGGGAGAGAGCCACCTGGGGAGAGGCAGCATATTAGGGAGACGCCAGATTGTGACAACAAGTATATAGGTATAAATTGGTTTGT